TACGTTTTACACGTGAATCATCCGTTTCCATCACTCTATCTATTGAAAAACCGTCACATCGTTTTGAAGATTTAAGCGTACATAGGGATTTAAAGACAGAGAACTCTACTACTTTGTACAAAGAACTTTTGTTCTATGTAGTGATAATTCGTTTCTGTACAACTCCTTTATATTGAGATCAGCAAATACATTACTTACCCGAAATAATTAGAATCATTATACTGTTGTTCTGTCTCAAAAAACTTACATCTGGGTCTTGCCTACACCGCGACATTAACTTTCATGTCAAAATCATACGAATTATGGCAATGGCATCCAAAAGCCAGCTTTTCATTTCATCGCCTCAAAATTCTTGATATAACTCACATCTATTGTTCACAGTAACCGCGCAGCTACTGTTGGAGGCTCGGGAAAATAGTAAATAGTTTAACCAGACGCAGACATACCGTGGGATCTTTTCACCTGAGGACGCGGTGAACGGGCCATGGACGAAATTAACTGTATGTACATAGAGTTGTTGATACCAACACAATTTATGAAATATAAAGTTTAAAAACGCCTATAGAAAATATTACAAGCCAAGTGAGAGAGAAGAAACAGGGTGGTTATTGGTCAGTAAGAGTCTCACACTAACTCTCATGTCGCCCAGGGTGGGAGAATACAATTGATCATTTTCCTTTGTTTCATATTCATTCAACTGATATATGTAGTTGTAATTATAATAGAATGACTTTGGTTAGAATGTTTATATTGTATCACTTGTTTATTTAGTCCAACAGTTTTGGCTCGGCTATTCCTCACTATCAGTTTAAAACAAACTTTTTTTAAAACGTTTCTTATTGATTACTTTGTTTTGTAATACTGAAATAATTAAACGTTTATTAGGTACAACACTCGTATTTTTAATGAAATACATAATTAATCCTATTAAAATCAATCTTATAAACAATTTAATATAGTTTTTGATTTAATCATGGCCCATAGTTGAGTGGGTGAGTGAGGTTATTATATTCACTTACAGATGAGGAGATGAGGAGGCGATGACGTCACGCGAGAAAACCAGTGCGGGAAACTCGCATACGAAAATATGTGGCCCAGTGTTTAGCGCGCCCGCTTCTCATTCATGAGTGTTCAAGACATGGCAAGTACCAATGTGACTTTTTCCACGTTACATGTACTTTCTATGATTATTTAAACATCACAAACGGTAAAGGAAAACATCTTGAGGAAACCGGGACTTTATAAATTTCTAGCTATAAGTTTGAAATCGCCAATTCGCCGAGAGCAAGCGTGGGGATTAATGCTCAAACCTTCTCCGTGTGAAAAGTGGCCTTTGATCGGCAGTGACAGGCTGATGATATGAAAATATTAGATGTGGCTTACACTGTAATCCAAAATTTCGGTATCATCAACTCCACATAGTTACATGGTGGTGCGCTGCATAAGTGCGATTTAGCTAGATGTCAGGGCGGGCGACGTTACTCATGCGTTAATTTTGCGCGACAAATTAATTCGAGCACAGATTTAGCAAGAATAAAATGATGGCACCGTGTTTTGTGGCTCGACGTGTGTGCTGCAATGTGTTCAGATCGGATTCTGTTTTGTTTCAAAAGATTATTTCTTTTGTTTTGGTTTGAGCTATTGTTTGTACATCGTGGTGTGTTGGATTGTTATTGAATAGTTTTTAGTTTTATAAGAACACAACGTATAAGCTATTTGTAATGTGATAAAAAGTTAATTGATGTTGACTTTTGATTTTAGGGAATTATAACATATATTCTGACCCGGTTGTCAAACAGTAAGATAGATCAGTGTATGTATTACAAGTTCGTTGTCGGCCTCTTTTGGATTGTTAAGAATTTGAGGATTAGGGCTTTAGGAATTGAGAGTAGGGGAGGGATGTTTTGTATCTCCGGTTACCTCATTCGCACGGCAAGCGTTGGTTCGTTGTCGACCGAAGCTATGATATCGCTTCGAAAGAGTCAAAACACAAACACAATGTTTCTCCCACGCTCGGTCATCATATAATAAGATTAAATTCCTATAAATAAAACTATGTTATATAAACGTAATAATTATATTAATATGACACAATATCTCTTCAGAATATTTCTTCTGCTCCCATACTGTGAAACACACATCTCGTAGCTCGGCTACGGCGTAGGCGTGTGCTACGCAAGCCCCCCACCATGTACTAGTACTCTTCACAAAGTATTTTCTTTAGTTAACCTGGATATCTAGATGTATGTTATAAACAATCTGGTACAAAGTTTTATTAATAAATCATGAAAATGCAGTAACAATTTTGAAAGACAGGTGCCTAAATAGTGCTTATCTTTATATATAAAGATTTCAGTGTCACGTGTTTGTCCGCGATGGACTCCTGAACTACAAAACCGATTTTAAATTTCATTTGCATTCCGTGTGAAGTTTGATCCAACTTGAAGGATAGGATAGCTTACATCTCAATTTATAGTCACGGTATTATTTACCTTAGCCTCAGCAAAGCGTGGCTGGGTCTGCTAGTTGTTAAATAAAATTACTGACACAAATGCTATTTGCTATAATACATTTGATACGGTAACATAAAATTATCAAAGAAAGCCTTTAAAGATAAAATCATCAGAAGTGTTAACGTCTACTAAAGGGACCAAACTAACAGTTCAGCTACTGCAGATAGCGGATACTGCTAAGTACAATACAGTAGTCATTGGACTAAGGATCCAGGTCCACATAAATATGCATAGCAGACAGGTTGGAGAAAAAGGCGCTGCTGCCCATTTAAGTTTATTCTCTTCTCAGTGGTACCCAGCCATTAGCATCATCGCCAACTACCAATCCTTGATTTAATATAGCACAAAATGGATCTGATCATCAAAACAAAGACATATTTTGATTGAATTTCATCTATTTTTTAAAGGCATTTAACAAAGCAACTGTCAAACTGATTACACCTCAATCTAACTCAAGAGCGGATGAATTGAGATGAATATCCACCCCAATGAATAAAAAATAAGCCGTGGCTCATCACAAAAAGCGCGGGGGAGTAAAAAAATAATATTATCCTGTGGAAATGAATTAAGCAACTCACAGATACTGTGCTTCTGGATACTGGCTCCTGCGGAATGGAAACAGTGGAGGTGGAGTTTGTATGTATTAAATAAAATTCGCAATATTTTTTTAATGAAATAATTTTTGTTATTTTTGTGAAAGTTGTATTTTAACATAGGTATTTTACATTCTTGGCATTTTACGAATATGAAACTCAATTGGTCATTCGTTTGTAATTAATCTTTAATTTATAGTAAATTTTGTTTTTTTTTTGAGTTCTTCATTATTTTATCTGCTTACTTTAAGTTTTTACTACTATAATGCGTAAAATGTATACACGTACGTAAAATATACATATATTTTTCACATAACACTCCGTACATGTTTTAACATTTACATTAAAAAAAAAACAATTGTCATTGGCCAATCTTAATTGGTGTATAAGTCAATTTACAACTAAAGTTTGTATTATTTTCATAAATATGCATTTACTAAATATGCGTATTCCGTTCTTGTTTACCATCTTTGCCTCATTTAAACATTTTTTATTTGCGATATTTCCAAGGTGTCTTCAAGGCTAGAGTGAATAGGCTCTTAATAAACTAGTGCGTCTTACCATCAACGATTGCGTCACTGCTTACCATCAGGTGGAATCGCAGTCAAGCACTAGTTTATACAAAGTAAAAAAAAAGTTTTTTTTTTCGAAGTCCAACTCCATACAACACAGCGTTTGTCGCCGATCCTTGGCGGGGTAAGTAGGGAATAAAATTAACCGAGGATGATCGCTAATGAAAATAAATTGGCGGCGGGAGATTCGAGATTACACCGACCGCGACGCTGTAGTCCTTTGGAAAAATCGGGACACGTACCGACTAGGTGACTAGGACGATCTTTGTGAACTGGCTTATTGTTTTTTTATACAGTTTGTGTTAAGAAGAAAGTTATTATTTGCGGTAGGTAAAAGTTTTATAAAGGGCTGGAAATGCAAGTTAAATTTTCTATAGGTGTAATAAAAGTAAATGAAGCATTTATTTAATTATTATGGACACCCTTTTTATTTCATGAAAAATTTTTTATCACGACAAGAACTTATAATAGCTCGATTAATAAATTTGACATGAACAATAACTTGAAAACTAGATAAAATTGAAAAAGACGAGGTTTTTAAACATTTCTACATAGCACTTCATAAAACCAAAAATAGGCACACAAAAAATATTGTAACATTTTTTTTTTATAAACCAAACATTCCACATTACTTGACAAAGTGTCAAGATATCTTTAAATATGGACGCACAGATATTACAAGGAGTGGAGGCAAGAAGTAAATGAGAGTAACATATCCGGGGGTTCATCTTAAGACGATGTAAGATCAGCCCTGAGTTATGGCTCCGTGGAATAGCAGTTATTAAAGAAAGTGCGATTACATTTTTCTTCAAGGAGACTTGTCTTAATGATTTGGGGTAAATAACAACGATGGATGACATCTGGATGTGACTCTGTGTACCTAGTTTGGGATTTCGAAAATATATTTATGTATTATTATTTTTTTTGTTTATAAAAAACGTTGCCCAACATTGGGATTTTCTCCTGTGTCGTGGGTGCGGTTACAAACATATAATTTCACATACACATGACACCCAGACCCGGAACAACAATTTGTGGATCACACAAATATGCGAGGTGCGCGACACATTGTACGGCAGTCAGTTGCCCAATTACCACGCCAACCGTGCAACCAATCAGTCAAAACTGATTTTTAAATACATACATTTATCTAAATAATTTTTATAGCATTTTTTCTTTGAAGGAAAGAAATAATCAAATGTCTTCTTTGGCCCTGCCTTGTCACATGCTGTTGTCGTTGTTGCCTCATGTAGCGAGAGGGAGTGTCACACTGTTACTGAGTAAAAACCACTCTGTTCCTTCTCCTGTTTCAGGTCAAGGCCGCGATACATTGTTGACCCGCAACACCGGCTAAACATCAACCTTCATCATCATCAGCCTATAAGTGCCCACTTCTGAGCAAAGGCCTCTTCTCACACGGAGAAGGTTTGAGCGTTAATCACCACGCTTGCTTAATGCGGGTTGGCGATTTCAAACTTATAATTAGAACTCATGAGTCCAGGTTTCTTCACGATGTTTACCTTCACCGTATGTCAGTGGTGTCGAAATAACCATAGAAAGTACGATTAAGTACGTACGAAATAAGAAAGTAGTAATAACTTGGAAAAAGTCACATTGGTACTTGCCAGGTTTCGAACCTACACCCTCATGCATAGAAGCGGGCGCCTTAACCTCGGGGCCACCACGATGACAAACCAACATCAACTTCAATGAGGCCTATCTAGCCAATTTTAATTACCTACGACCCTATTAAAAATTTACTAAATGTAACTTCTCAACAGTAACGTCATAATTAAACTTTAATGTTATTCTTTCATCACAAATATTCTAGAATGTGACAGTTACAAAACCCTGCTATTAAATTCTATAGTATAGTACATCTAAATACCAATTCAAGTAACAAAATATGAGAAAACCAAAAAGTTTTTATATCATTAATATCTACAACTAAACGATCCAAACAACCAAATCACTGTACAAACAGGCTTTAGCCTATCCACAGTCCAGTTTTCGTGGTCATGATGTAGAAAAAAACCGTCATGTCAATTAATAAAATCTACCGTAAGCCTCGGCTTAGCCGGCCTCCTTGTTATGTTATAACTAAAGCTCGGAGATAGGCAGGGGCGAGTTCGGAGCGACTGAGTTTAACCTTCGAGACCTGTTTATGTATGTGTGCGAACAAATTTTTAAATGAAGTTGGTTTGATGCACAATTTTTCCCTACTTATACTATTGTAGTCTGTGTCTGTGGACGGTGAGTAAGGGTAGCTCGCCGCCCGACCAGATCCAGACCCGAGCAGACGGCGCGTAGCGTTCCTCGCCCGCCTTAAAGAGCCAAGAGACCACGACAGACGGGGGCCTATAGGGCTGATGTTCAGCAAAAAAACTCGTCTATTATAATATATCTACGTAATAAAAAGGCCCATCATAACTTTAGTAAGAAATAAACAGTTAAATCCTTTCCAATTATAAAAATCATTAAGCTCATTTGTTATAAATACTGAACGGTTGAGAATACTCAATATACTGTGTTGTAAACAATTTAAATTTCTTTAATGAAAAAATGAAATTATGGTAAACAATTATGATGTTGAATGAAAACAAAAGCAATTTTTGCTCTTAATCATACAATAAAACAATTTTTTTTTCTTTAAAAAAAATCTTTGCCCCACATTAGGATTTTCTCCTATGTCGTGGGTGCGGTTACAAACATACAATTTCACATACACATGACACCCAGACCCGGAACAACAATTTGTAGATCACTCAAGACTTGTTCCGTGCGGGAATCGAACCCGCGACACGTTGCACGGCTGCCAGTGGCCCAGCCAAATTCAAATGTGCGAAAGCTGTGCTTCGGCACGATTGGGCCGGCTCGCCCGGAGTGACACCAAACAGAAAACAGGCTTGAAATAACCACAATGTTGTTCGCAGTGTGAGTGACTTTACTAGAGGCCTAATCTTTCTCCCTCCATCCCTCCTCAATCCTTAAATCCCCAAAAACCCCAATCCCCCACTCACTCCTCTGCCTCTGGTGTTGCGGGTGTCCTTGGCTATTAAAAAAACACAATGAAATTAGCATATAAGTAGTCCATTTCTTGCCTATGCATAGATGAGGTCTGTTTTCTCACCCTTAAGTATTTTTTTATCAATTTATGCGACATATACTTCAGACCAATTACGTTCTTTGTTAAAATGAAACAGCCTGTCCTATAAGAATTAACTGACAAATTGAACAATGTCGAATGACACGTCCAACTAAACTAACTTGCACACGGATTTATTTATTTGGACAATCAGTAGTTGTTACATTAATTCGTCTTAACTTAATATTATTCTAAAATAATAGATAAATGCACAACATTTGAAGATGTCACAGCATGAGTCATAAGGTAACACTGGTTTGAAGATTGGTATAGTAACTTAATTACGAACTGTAAGCTTAAAGAAACCTCTTTAAAATATTATTAAAGGCTTCCATTTCGTTGTCCACCATCCTTAAGAAAACACACTCAACTAATTAGAAGTTTTATTTTCTCGGAACATTTATAGAGAGTTATTAAGCCAAGTGCATACCGACTGACGTGCCCTCGGTACGAGACAGTAAAACTCTTAAGCCCGTCTTGTACCGGAAGATTTACTATAGCAACTTAATACGGCGTAATATCGTTGTCTGTCCTCTGCCTTACAGCCAAGATTAATAACAAAATGGGAGCTTATTATTATTTATATTGTTGTAATTATTTTTTGCGGCTCGTTTATTAAGTTTCTTGTGTTTAAGAGTTGATTTCGTTAGTGCTCCATTCGTCTCCCAAGAAATTAACAAATTTAACAAACAATTGTTTAATTACCGAATCTCCGTAACAACAGTCCCGATGACGGTTTGTAAGGTGTTTCTGGTTTGATTCCCAAAAGGAACAACTCTTTGTGTGATTCAGTGATCCACAAATTGTTTTTCTGTCTCCGAGTGCGACATGTAAATATTTGAAGCTGTATGTTTCAAAATACAACGGGAAAAACAATCCTTTTCTGATAATATTGAAAATATAAGTAACTCGCTCAAAACCTGGAGCTAATCATCATACATCTTGATAGCAACTTCGTACCTTGATGAGGCTCGTTGATACACCTTGGCACCGTCAAAGGTACACGACAAAAGTCTTCAACGAAAATGCACCTGATTTAATAACATAAACGTGTCCCTTTCTGGTCTTCTATAAAATGGATACGGAACTCATAAAGATGTTCCTAATTTAAAAATGGTTTTACACAATTTTTTGTCTCTAAGTAAGTGTAAGAAATTTCTTTATCTTACTCTGGTGTAAAAATACATGTAATAATACAGTATATCAACATTCTAGGCAGTTAAATAATAAATAGCTTGTTGTAATTAGAACGTGTCATAATCCATGGTTAACTAACATAAATGCCCGGCTTCGCCCGCTGGCATAAAGCAGTTTGTTTAGATTAAAACTTAATGCCCACTGATATTAACATGACAACGATGTTATTTATTTTTTTACTAAACTCGCTGGGAAGCCAAGAGATTGGTTCCAAGGTTGAATTGGTGAATTAAACAAGAACCTGGTTTAAGTTCATAAGTATAATTATTGGCGTAGCATTTTTTAATGAGCGATGTCTTCATAATTTTCATTATTTACAGGGATACGCGTTTTTGATGTGATTTTAATTTTGAATAAATTACATTTCTTACGTCGCTATGGCCACGTGTCTCGAAGGACGGACGGCCGATGGACCCGTAAATGGCGGCCAAGGATCGGCAAACGTAGCGTGGGCAGGCCTCCCGCTAGCTGGACCGACGACATTGTCAGAGTCGCGGGACACCAATGGATGGTGGCAACTTCTCATTCGACGTGGAGGGCCAAAAGGGGCCTTTTTCCAGCAGTGGACATTTCTATGTACTTCAAAATTATATATTATTTTTCTATCATGTAAGATTTCGTACACCGACAGTATTATTTTGTAGTATAAAGTGGCTACTTTGGCTTGGTTTTATTTATTCGCAAAATTGCCTAGAATAGTCATGGAAAGCAGGGATTATTAAGTCACTAAGAGTCTGACACTCACTCTTTCCTCACCCTAGGCAAGAGAAGTCATTACATGATTTTCCTCAATTGTAAGCCATGTCGTCTATTAGAAATGTAAACTAATTAACCTAATTATTCATTTATTTATTGCAGCATTTGAAACAATAATGAAAAATAATACACCAACAAAAAGGCTGAATGACTTGGAATCCGGTATCCGACCAGAATGACGACACACCATAAACTGAATTTTTTTTTAATCCTCTCGTATTGCTTTTCATTATTTTAATTATTTTCGTTGATGTTAATTATAATCTTTGCGAATTGAATGCATAAAGGACTATAATAACACACAGATTGAAGTTAATTAATTATTTTGTATGAGGATTCATAATTATGGGAACATTTTTATATTTATTTGAGGAAATAATATGTGTATTAACTTACCTTCCTATGTTGGTATATTGTTAAGTTTTTTTTAAGGTTTTGTGATAATTTTATGAAGAAATTCACCGAAGGTGTCCTCGTTAGCAGCTTATTTTTAAATTACAAAAATAAAAATATGATGTGCGATTTAATAATAAATACTATCTTTAAATACAATTTGGTTAGAAGCCTGATTGTCTTAAGAGGTATCTCCTGTTTAAAACCTACACGGAGTCTAGAATTGTCTATGATTTCAAAAAAATATTTTTTATATACAGTCTACTTATCCAATTTCTACTTATACAGTCTACTGCTTATTCCATCGGTATCTTTAGGTTTATATCATTTGATATATGTACCTACTTACTTTTATATTCGTTAAGTTGTATACGCCTTACTTATTTACCATAGCAATCCCTCACAGGGCTTATAACTTCTCAAAATAAAACATTTTTTGTGTAAGAAAATATTTATATTTAGCACGTTCATTAAAAAAGTAAACTTGTAAAAAGTAATAATAACAAATAAAATGTGCTACAGGTAAATACTGATCATTAGAGCGTACTTTGTGAAGTCGAAAATTCTTAATGAGTTCCAAATAATTAAGATGGTTGGTACTCAAAAGCGAACACGCTAAAGAATGGATAAGAATGTCGGAGGAGTGTGCACGATCAAAGAATGATTCCGCGAACCAACTTTAAATCTCTCTAATTGGTATAATCCGTTTCGCCCTACGTACACGCGCTCTAGCCGAAGCGCCTCTCCTGCAGTCAAGACGTTCATATCAACAAAAGAAGTGTTCTCGTATTCTCGAGTAGTTTACTTGAATGAACATTAAAAATAGAAATTCTACTTACTTTGATAAATATAGAACAGTTGTACTAGCGCCTGTCTGAATTGTTGTAGCAATATTCATTACTACTGGTACAAGCTAAGTGCTCTGAGATAATTAAAATGAATAATGTTGTTTAGTTTGGTTTTTATGCTTCTATATTCCTTTTAAAACGAATTTCTCTTGGTAAGCTTAAAATCAAGGGAACTGTCTACTTACCACCCCGAACTACAAAACTTGGTCATCTCGAGAGTCAAAGTTTGAAACTTGTGCGTCTCCTTGCAAGTGCAATGCTTCAGTAAGTACCTATAGCATAGCCTAATATTGTGAAACCCCGAAACAGCCGGTCATTCACCACGAAGATCGAAGTGTTGACAAAGATGTCTGTAGATACTGGCGATTACACCAAGACTTGCAAGTTTGACAGGTGATTTGGGTCCCGACGACCGCTTCCGTCGAAGCTTCGGAGATAACTATTGACACATGTTTAGTTCCACAATGGTTTAGAGGGTGCCCAGTATATCTTGGCACTTTATGGTGGCGCTGTTTGCAATGCCAAATGTCAACAAGACGTCTAATACGGTACGTCATGGTATAGTTCTCCCGTGTAGCGCCTGCCAAAATTTACTGAGCACATAGTTGTGAACTAACGATAAACTGTGAGATAGTGTAAGGGGACTGATTGGAAATTCCCTTATAGATAAGTATAGCCCAACAAGTGCTGGTACGTTTTATATTATAAGTAAAGATAAATTGAGTGGGCTCATATCTACATAGTGGTACTTTCTAGCTCTTGTTTTAAATGTTATATGTGCAGTATTTCTATTTCGATAAAGCAAAACGTTCTGGTATCGGTAATTGTGTTAGTGTAGCTACATACTTATATTGTTGTATATTAAATTAGTATCGTTGAACTTCATAATGAACTCTAGTCACCAGTTTAAGTTTAGTTTGAGAAAATGCATCGTAATATATCTTTTGCACATGCTTAAGCTGTTAAGTTAAGTGATAATGTTGGCAAGAAAGTACCTAAATAGCATCAGACATGAAAAATAAATAAAAGACAAGTTGATTTCATAATATTATATTCAATTTAATTTTCGTTTAGGTATATAATAATTGAATCGAATAAACATTTAGCCAATATCTTCGTTACCTAAGTGGTAATGCTTTAATTGTTCGTGTGAGCCTAGTGACGTAGTTTTACAATAAAACTTATGTTTAACATTAATAAAATATTTACAATATTTGGAAATATCATCACAGCTTCACGAAAACAAGCATAACATGGAAACAACAAAATAAACTGCCGCATTACAACTATGACGATTCTAAAACTATAAAACAAGAAGGTGTGAAACAGCCTCAATCGATAAATGCGTGAATACTGTAATATACGAACTGTTTGGTGTAAACCGCTTTACTGGGCACCACGGTGTTACCAGCTATTAAATACAAAGCACAAATAAACCACGAACATTACCATCCACCGAGCTATTGTACTTAATAGTCGATGTAGTGTAATCAGCACGATTCGGTTTAATATGGTGGCATCAGTTTCTGCTCGAGCTCCCCGCTCTGCCCAGCAGCACGGGAGACTAATTCATTATCAGATAATTACGTGACCACTACTACACTAACCGATCTTTGGATTGAGGAAACATTATAACATTTATTTTATAACAAAAGATACATAATACGGAATGTGCGTAACCATTCGGCCGCTGAACACCGACCGATAATAACATTTCAGAAATATCGATACCAGCATACTATGTGCAATATAATATCATTATACCTATGACTCAATACTAATTATACAAATAATGTACACAATTAGAATAACATTGAATACCATTCTATATTCCGACCTCGCTATTATAATTTAAGTGGAACTTTTAATGAGAATATCAATTAATTACATTCTAACAACAGATTTATACAACTACTGTATAATATTTAATAAATAAAACCGAGTTTTGAGTTTCTTATGTACATACATACTACATAATAGCAATATTGAGATTCCTTCACAAAGTGTGACGTGTCCTTTTATAGTTAATACATAATATATTATGGTACTACGAACTGTACACAATTAACAATACGATGTGATCGATCTATCAGATAACTTGATTCTACTCTAAACTTATAACGATATCGCATTGAAATATGTCTAGTCTACCTTAAGCAAAACTATGATTGGTTTATAATCTACACAGTTACTAGTAAAGTCCTCTGAATAATACGAACTGTTTAAAGTAAGGATGACGCGCTGTCATCTTAATACTAACATGGCACTGCACACCATTAAACGTTTCGATTTCAGTCTTTCGTGTATGCTGCGACGACACAAACACTAAGATCTCTCACATTTTTCTAAAGTTGAGCACGATCAGATCAGCTCACACCAGCTTCCGTTCGGCCAAAGCGTGCGGGTGTCCGGGATGGGAGTAGTGGCCCGGAGACGATGGCTCATACAACGACATCTTCAGTCGCTTGCACTTCGCTCGTCGGTTCTTGAACCAAAATTGCACATTCTTTGACTCCAGTCGAGGAAACTTCTGCCTGTAAGGCATCCTGTTCAACTCCTCAGTGTATTTCAGTATCAGATTGTGCGAAGGATGTGTGTTCATTGAGAACCACTGCTCTAGTACAGGAACCTCAGATACGGGGTCAATGAATGTTCGGTTACGTTTGCGACGCTCGTCCGAAGCTCCCGCAAGTGCCAAGTTGAGGCCACTGGCGCCTTCTCCTGGAACTGCTCCGACGCCAGGAAAGCCACTCATGTACTGGCTCATGTACATTATACCGTGACCAAACATGGGGTGGTTTGGCACCATGGGGAATGGCAGACGGTCAAGGTGCGGCGAAGATGGCCTGTAATGTCGCTCCTGCATAACATCTTCATCAGAGCCCTCATGGTCTTCACCAACACCGTTCTCATCCTCATTGTTATTATTGTTGCTGCTATTGTTGTTATGCGAGCTGTCGCTATTCTTAGCCGGAGATCGTTGCGGAGACACTGCGTTGTCAGGCTTGCTCAAGTCTCTCGGCTCTTGTTTTATGTCATGCACCTGCAATATTAAAAAATATTAGGCGTCTATTCACAGTGATCAGGTGATTGCCGTTTATATTTCCATCAATAATAGAGGAGTTAATGATTAAAATGATGGCTTACCTTAATAATATCTGGCGGCTTTGGTGACTCCTCGGGCCTATCATCTGTCTCATGATCGTTATTTTTCTTAGTTGTTATCAACGAGAGAGGCCCATCTGGGCTCTCCGGCCTATCATCAGGATTTAAATCAGCACCATCATCTTCCATATCGGATCCACCATTGGATAAATTATCTTCAGACATAACAGACATCGGGTATCGACCAGGACTTCCGGATAATAAGGGACTCTTCATTGAATTGTGGTCTTGAGATCCATAGTTGTCACTACCAGCCATCAACGAGCCATTAGTCGGGCTATGACTTCTACTATTGAAACCGTTCACTCCAAGATGGCAGCCCAACCCGCCGATATTTCGAAGCTCAGCGCGTTTCTGTGCAGCACGCGCGTTCTTAAACCAGTAAACAACGTTGTTGACATCAAGGGGCTTACGTCCTCGCCTCGATTCCAAGTTGTTTAACTCTCGGACATACTGTTGTATTTGCTGTCTACTCGGATGTTGGTTTTCAGAAAACCAACGCTGTAATTTAGGCAGCTCTAACTCAGGATCAAAGCTTGTCCGCATTCTAGTCTTTTGTGTTGGATACTGACTTTGTACAGTCTGTAATGCTGGATGCAAGTGGTCTGGAATCGCGTTCATTGTTGGCGAACGAGTTTTAGGACCAGGCGATGGGTACCGGCGGGGACTAAATGGTGGCGGTCTCGGCGATACCTGCGCACTCCACCAAGATTCAAATTTACGTCTCATTTCCTCTGATGGCTCATATAGGTTGTGTGGCCCAGGCGCACGTTCTTGGCCACGACAAATCTGAGCTAAAGTTATCTGTAACAAGAGAAAACACTTTAACATGAAGGTCATAAAACATAACAAGAAGACTAAATAAAACACAACAAGATACCGCAAACAATTTTAGAAGATTTTAAAGAGGTCAGTCTAACCAGCAACAGATACAGAGATAATTGTTTGAATAAACACAAAGCATTGTTTCACAGAACATCGCCATTAGATTATGAAAATATTAGGTCGGCTGTTAATGCATGTGTCATGCGCGAGCGGTCGGCTGGCTTCTAACGCGCTCGGCGCTCGAGGTGTTTACTCGGTGGTTAGTGCGCATCACTCTCGCGCGCCGACGAAACTTCAATCATGGTCTGCTCTAAAACAATGAGCGGGAAGGGCGTCTCGACAATTAGCATCCACCCACTACGCCCTCAACGAGACGCCGGCACACGGACTAAGTGCTCTGCTGTATCGTTACCACCGACTCCGCTAAACAAACCACCCGAATGTTTCAAACCGATCTAATGCCGCTGTTTGAGCATCCAATCAACCGTGTGACTCGGAATGATTCCAAAGCAATGTTTAAATTTCACAACTATTTGTTTAGCGTGATAAGAGGAGTGCATGTTTAGAGAGGTATTAATCGCGCAGCAAGTAGTCAATCATAAAGAACTTGTCAGATTATGGCTGCGTCGCGCAGTTTACCCAGCTTGACAGTTATGCAAGTGAGATCTGCTCGTATCGCTAGATTACATAGAACAATGCCAGTGATTACGTCGTCACCCGGCTTGTCAGGCCATGCGGCCGCCGGGCCGGCCGCCTGCGCCGGCGTGTTGCTAAATCAGACGTTAAATTAACTGTAAGTATTACACATCGAGATTGTGCCTATAAATCATGTCACAGGTATTAGCGCCGTGCTCGAGTGATACGTTAATCCGCTTCTTTGTTTTATATTTTTAAATAGTGAGGCCATATTTGCTTTCAGATATTGTCTGTTTCAGCTGCGTGGAAGATTTACAAGAGCTGGCGCCTGCGCGTGATAACTCGCGTCACGTGTAATCCGCCTAAGTACGTAATTCGGTGTGTGATTGCGAACATTTCTTGATGTACTCGTAGTTAAAAGGACAACTTTGAACACAATAGGCTTAGTGTTATCTTATATTATTTTCGTTGTGTGTACATACGCTACTTACGTACGCCTCAAGGAGTGATTAAATTGTAACCCGTTACAAAGAACCTTGAAATTTCAAAGAGATTTCGAAATTAAGTAAGAAAGTAGTCTTAAAGAAGATTTATGGTTTAAAATTGATCCTGCATCGAGGTGGTACTCGGGAAACCCCTTCGATAAAATATTCCGCGAGCGTCTAAAAGTTTGCTCCGAGTTAAAATCGAAGTGGCGCAAATTGGCGTGAGATAAATTACCATAATATCATAGAGCCGAGTTCATCTGGCGTTTAGCTAACAACTTGAAGGTGTTTGATTATCTTGCCGGTCGGGAGTTCCTTTGCTTCATTTGCGCTAACTTCGCCTCGACTTTACAACTTCAATTTGTTTCTAGCTGTCTATTGTATCTCTATTCACGATCTGCAAGACAATATTTGAAGCCAAAAGTGTGGTAATAAAATGTGTCAACCACTACACGATGTCACTGCGAACTCTAAATTGAAATATAGATCCCTGAGCCGGTTATGGTTAGCGAGGGCGCGCATGGAGCGCTAACCTCGCGTTTAATAAGATTATAAAGCATTATTTTATGGTATTAATAAGATCAAAAGCGTTCGTACATCTAAAACTCCTTTTAACCCTCTTTCGGTGTGGCTCAAGTTGGCAAGACGAGGGCAACCCCCGCCCGCCGCCCTAACCCGTTCGCTACAAGGTGGATATTTAGAAAATATAATAAGGCCTCGCGAGGCGCGGATGAGACGGAGATTCAATTAAATTTATTATGTATGGAGATCTCGCGTATGAGACAGGTGCTCATCACGTCGACAAATTGTTCTCTATCGTAAGCAAAGAGCTTTAAATCTCTTTACAGCCTTACTGAAGCGATGAACGCGTTCTAAATACTATTTTATAATAAAATCCTTTTACATTTACTTACATATTGAAGTTTTTCAAAAAACATTTGTAGATAACATGTACTATAGCTTATTAGTAGGCTATTGAGAAAATACTACTATGAAACATTATTGACGAGATCAGAATCAAGGTGGCAAATAGAACAAAATTGGTATTAAAACAGAAAAACTCACGTAACAATGTATTGAAATAGAAACAACAAGATAATTACGAAATAAATACAATCACTCAAAACGCGACATGATGAAAATGTACAAACTCATTGTCGAGATACTTGCGAACAAGAAAACAAATGTTGTTTTAATTCTTCCCCCAAGATGATCCCTATTAGAAGGGTCTTAGCAGTTACCTCGCAATTATAAAGACCAAAATTATAGAACGCTACTTAGCGAAGAGTTTTCGATAATCTGTCTTTTCGTCTTTCATCTTGAGACATCGTTAATTTTGACGATAATGTCGAACGGTATTCTTGTTTGAATCTCTACAAATAGGTATTATAAATGCGAACATTTCAATGTATCTTTCTATGTGTGTTTGATTGTTTGTCAGTCAATAACACAAAAAATGCTGAATGAAATTTGAAAAAAAAGGATTGACAACAAATTAGAATTCTTTGGGGTCTCCTGCATTCTTTTTCTGTGGATATCTTAAGAGCTGTCTATTTAGGTGGCCACAATTTATTTTATCCTTAGATAATATTCGATAACTGAGACGTAGTAGGTATATAACTGTATGTATTTAAGTACTACCACCTAAGAATACATGTGGAAAGCAATAAAGTATTGAGTATTGAGTATTGAGTATTGAGTAATAAAATTTCACCTAAGAGCAGTGTGCATTTTTAATATTATGTGTGTTATTTTGGCAAATGAAAACCATTTGGCAAGCTTGTAGACTTAATAGATTTTTTCTTATCATTAGTGTTATGTTTTATGAACAAATATTCTATAATATTCTTATAATGTCATATTAAAAAGCGATATTTAGCTGGTATTTTGCAAACAACAAGGTTAGTGTGGTGAGGTCAAAAGGCATATTTTTTGTTGTTCCATTTTCAAGATTTAAATTTTACAAAAAATAATAGCTTTATATCAACAGCCAGTCATTTATTTAATGTATTTAGTCGATATTTTAAACCTTCAACCACGTTTAAAACAATTCGAAATAAAATGGAGCTCTAAACAAATCCATTCAAAATTCGATTAAAAGCAACCAATAACGTTACAACACTGGCCACAATAACCCAATCACGGATCTTAAGCACTCGATCTTTAATTAAATCGTTAAAACAAACAATACATTTACGTACTGGGATAAATGTTTTCAATTGAAAGCGTGGCTCGCAAAGCGGGCTTAAAATATAGAAAACAATGAATTTCCACGTTAATAAGGGGTAACGAGTTACCCCTATTGGGGTGAAGGTTTAGTTTGAGGTTATTGTTCGCGGGGTAAACCGGGAACATGGTGTTTCATTGTGGATGTTGGTTTAGCTCGGTGTACCGTGTAGACATTGTCACCCATCAGGATGATTTTAACGCCCGAATCGGTTGATGTAATTTGATTTGACAGATGTTTCCATAAGCTTTACCGTTTTATAGATGGATTTTGACGAATGTTATTTGTCGTGGTTTTTTAATCATTCTTTTTTGGTATGTACTCTTCTTTGTAAAACTGTTGCATGTAACAACGTACTGATTAATAATGATGAATTGAATATACTAACGTTTATATGACAATTCAATAAGTACATAAATATGTAGCTATAAGAATAAAAATTTGAAAGGAGTTTTCTCGTTTTGATTTCATGTTATTAACTTCTATTTCTTCTATTGCTGGTTACTTTGACATAGTTGGTGATTTAATGGCGGCCTGGCAATTAGTAAACTGATGATTCTTTGCTTACCTCGTCCAAAGGACATCCAGTAGACATAAGCAACGGTCTACTCTGCACCAGCAGAAGTCTCAAAAGTTTGTCTTTAATGTCCTGAAGAGGTGTGGGCCTCGGTCTCAGGAGTTGGATCCTAAGAGTGGCCACAGTGGACAACTCTCCGAGAACTTCACCGACAGTAGCTGTTGGAACATCAGAAATCCTCTCGAAGGGCAATGGCTTCCAGTTGTTTATGACTACTGATCCTGTTGACAAATAAATGGTTTTGTTAAAATTAACTTTCTGTTGTATGCCACATATGAATAATGTGAATTTAACTTAGGCCCTTAACATACTGTTTTATTTAATAGGTCAGATGACTCAGATGCATAACCTGATGGTAACCAATCGGCTCCGCCCATGGGCACCCTCATACCCCCACCAGTTACCGATCTTTTGAGAAACGAAGGATTCCTCTACAAGCCTTTACAAGCGGATTTTTATGTAGTAACATCACGTAAATGCTTAACATTATCTACTACCATGTTGGACTTTAGGCATATAGGCTTCTAAAATATCTCTTGTATGTAAACTCACCTTTAGCAGAAGCAGCCAATTCATGAGAGTATCCTAAACGCATCAGGGCGGTTGGCACTAACTCATGGAAGGGCGTTGGTACAGGAATGATGACGTAGCTGTCTGTCTCGACCACAGCCCTGCGTCTCCATGCTCCTTCTTCCAGCGAAGATACCACTTCCACCACACAATGTACCGGCACCGTTTTAACTAGGACAAAGGAAAACAATAATAAATACTTTTGTTGTAAAAATGTTTGATGATTACTAAGACGTTATTTACTTATACACATTTCTATTAGTTGATCATCAGTGGCATTGTGATGGATGGGTTCGAAAGAAAGTCTGCAGCTGTATAGCACATAGCACGTAGAGCTGAATCATCATATATATAAGGTCTTGAGGTTTATACGTGCCGATTTAACATATTAATCTGTAGGTACATATCTTATCAGTTTTAACTTAAAACTGACTTAATCTTTGCATTCCATTCATAATGAACGTCACACGCAATATATTGGTAAAGATTGTCTTTAAAAATATGTAAATTTAAGTTAATAATTAATTAGTAATTAGTGGGAAACAAGTAAGAAAAGAAATAAAAGTCTAACTACAACTCTAGCGTCGCGAGGACCAGTGCAAAAAAGTACTTAATGGAAAAATCTTTTGCAAGACGGTGTTCCTCTGAAAAATCACCTACTTAGTATCTTGAACGTCGAAACGCTGTCGCTAAGAAGGCGTCTTAATTATTTAGCAACTTTTCAAGCGAGAAAGCAATGCTTTTGACTTGCTCGCGGACGCGGCAAAAAACCTACTGAAATGTTAAAATAATAATTAATCCTTGTTGAAGGAACGGCCGACGGGCGCCCAACGCTTTGTACCGTTGCTTTGTTGCGATATTAAATAGTTTTTGCTGCTTCGATGCGTTTTTTTATAGCCGTTTAATAGCCTGGCGCGCTTTAATGGAAATCTGTCGCACTTTTCTTTTATGAGGATATATTTTCGTCTTAAGTACTACCTACTCGATTTTATTAACATCCTGTTCTGTGTTTAAGTATATAGATGTACGTACTCACAGGTAAACAACCCCAAAACATCCCCATATTCAATATTATTACGTTGAACACTGATTTAGAGTATCAGTTGAAAACAATAGACGTCTTTGAGCGCACAGTTATTGAATTTACATAATACTATTCCGGGATCCTGTCCACAAAATATAGTGGGTATAGTTACAATGAAATTATAAATTTCTCGCCACAATAATCTTTTAATAACAGGGTTGAGGTGCGTTAAGCTGTGTTAGTCTTTGGGTTATGTACTTTTGAATAGGTGTTTCAGTTTTAGTAATCGCCGAAACTAAAACTAACTTTGGATTGTTTTCGTTTGAAAGTTCAAGTTGGATTAAGCGTTTAATATTTTATTGATTAATAAGCAGATATAGTTTGACTGGGATACATTTTCTTGGTTGTGAGGTAAAATAGTTACTAGGATCTTTGTAATTAAGTCTATTACTTTATATATAAAAACTAGCTTTTGGCCGCGTCTTCGTTCGCGTGGAATAATGACTTCCAGATTTTAAACAGTTAACTGTCTGTCTGTCCTCTTCACGCCTAAACTACTGAACTGATTTCTGTGATATTTGGTCCAGACATATGTAGTTTGGAACTCCAGAAAGGACATAGGATAGTTTTTATACCAAAAATCTGCAGAAAATCACTATTTCACTCGTACAAAAGCTAGTTATATAATATAGTTTGGATATGGATGTACCTTATGAAATGCTGTGAATTTTTTTGTAGGGAAGTCAACCACAAATTTTTTTAGTTGTTTTCGATTAATATACTTATAGTTTTTTAAGTACCTATCGAGCGCCTGCTTTGATGCCAAACACACAATAATAGCAAAGCGCCTTATAAATATTACATATTAAGTACTATATTAAAGTTCTGTAGCCAACCCTACAAAATTCGAGGGTAGTTACAGGTTAGCACCTAGGCAGCGATTTAATACCAAGCTTGGATTAGGTGAGGTTTAGTTGCGGGCCGGCCGCCGCCCGAGACGGTCCTCTGGTCAGCTTAAACCCTTGCTTTATGAAACTATACACGTGGAATTGAATATTAATTAAATGCGATAGGTGGGAACATATTTTGGGTACTCTAAATGTTTGTTTATGAGTTATGCAGGATATTTTGAGATATTTTGACTGTTTCTTTTATTTTATTTTAAGGGTATTTAATTGGATGTCGTTAGAAATGCAATATACCACATATAAACGTTTGTTATACCTAAGAAATAATAAAGAATGATTGAAACATATGCACAGTAGCAAAAGTTTAAACACTCATGTATGACACAAAATGACTACATCTTTATCATCCAGCCGGAGTTGCGGGTGCAAGCGCATTAATGCAGATCAAGAAGAAACAAATTGGCTTTTAGTCAGTAAGAGTCTGACACAATCTTTCGCCATATCTAAGGAGTCATCATTTGATGTTCATCCATATAGGTATACAACGAATTTTCAAATATCAATGACACCCAAGGTTTTTTTACGTGATTTGCTAATAACCAGGTTTATTCAAGCCTTTATTACAAGTACAATACAGATTGTATTAGGGAATCGTACAATTAAGCCTTGTTGTACACGACATAATACTTGGTTCAAAGCTAAGCCGAGGGAAGGCCACTTGAAAAGAGTTCTGTACACAAGCACTAGATGTCGGCTTGTGTACGAACTGAATTAAAACATCGTACTAAAGGGAATTAACCAGTGCTCCAGTGTAGTTCTAGCCTTATAATAATACTACACTCGTACTCGTATTATTGAGAGAACAATGACCTGAGAGTAGATCGCATTTTCTTTTGTTTTTTGTACGTTACTAAAGTGATTTGATGGCGATTCGATTTTTAAATTTTTGTTTTTTTTTTTAATATTCTTTAACTCGTATGCGTATAGGATTTTAGTCCTTTTTTAAAATGTATTTTAATAGAAGTAATTACAAGTAAGAAGAACTATTTAGCTGTAGAGGTTGAATTATCGTGATGGAATGAAAAAGGTACGCAAGATTCGGCCCATTTCGATCGTCATTTTTTTTATACATATATGTACATATTTATAATACAAAGACTCTATCACGTTCAGATAAGATTGGTCATATGATTCTTTAGGTAAAAATAGTCTTGATTTTTGAGAAGGATTATATATAAAACGAAGTACGTACACTCCCACTTTTAGCAAATGCTATTTGGAAAATCCGTGTGATGGTGCGTGTCGGCACTAATGTCTAACTGTTCGCACCTGTCTGAATGGATGTAGGGGCTTAAACAGATATGTTCTGAATCAAATTCACTGCCTTTACGAAAGACACGCACCCTTAAAAACATTGATGTAAACCCTCTAGATGAACTGAGCGCAGTTTATCTAGAGGGTTTAAAAGCTGACTTGAATTAAATATGTCGTTCTTAGATATTGTAAGTACGATGTAAAATCTATATCAGCGATATCAGATAAAAAAGCGAATCTATATCAGATAAAAAAAAAATCATAGATCAGCGTTCTTTTCCAATTATAATTTGCATGAATAATTATCGTCTTGTAGTTTATAGGTTCTTTGAATGTCTATTCAAATGTCTGTCAAATGTTGCAAGATATAAACTATCGCAGAAAAGTAATAAAAGAAAAACGTTAAAAGATAAAGTTTGAATTAATGAACACTACAAGGTTATTAGGGCACTTTAATTGAAAAGACAATGCCTTACTTTAATGACTTAATTCAGTTTTATCTTACGCTTAATATTGTAAATGAAAATATTATTGTCTTTTAAGAAATTATTTGAGAAATTCAAACTTTTTTCTCGAAGCCTATGGTATTGTGTTTGTTTAAATTTAGTAATAAAAAAGTTGGCTTTTCAGCTATAAAAACCTTTTCTGTTTTTTACATTTTCAAAGTATATTCTAAACCTAACAATCCCGTATTGTGCAATTGAAAATAAGACACAGATGTATTGTCGAAAAACAGATTTATTTCTACCTTTTCTAGGTTTACATTGACGTACAAATAACTACGTGGAAACTATAGATAAACACCAGAAGTCATGCCAGATGGTGCTATCAACATACAGACAATTTACTCTTCCTTTTTAAATATATTACGAGGCACATCTAGTTTCCTACATCATGTAATGGCATTAACAATGAACTGCTAGCGACGTGTACTTACTCGGGAGTTAGCACAAGTATTTTGTTAAAAGTCTCATCCAAAACCCGCTACTCTGGAGGCTTAATTGACTGTTCCGTTAACATGTCGTGTGTATGTGCTTTCAAAGTTTTTGGATACTTTCAGTGATGTATTTTTCAACTTATGTGATGCTTTAGATAAACAATGAATGTTTTAACTTGGTCAATATTTAGCGATGCTGGACTCGGCTTTTAAATACTTTCTGTATTCTTAAAGAAATTTTTACCTTAACTTCTCCTATAGATTTTTGTTCGATGTGAAATGTGTAGTTGGAAATATTATTCCAGTTTACACATATCCATATTTTTACAAACCCGCCATGTCCTCATTATTGACATCGACACCCCACACAATAACACACCTAATAATAACTACGTAACTGCTATATTCGCGTGTTGATCGAATGCATTCGTGAGCGATGATCTGTTTAGATCGGATAAGTCCTAGCGTGTGAGATGCTGAAACCTTGCAAATACTGTGTCATGCCATCGGCTACTGCGCATTGTTGGTGTAAAACATCGTAATTATGTTCACTGATACTGTGATACGGTAGATTGCATGTTGTTTTATTTTCATTTTTATTGAAACTGGCAACGATTGCCATCGATGTTGTTTACGCTAGATAAGGATGCATACGTGCTGCGTGCTTAAAGAATTGTTATTCCATTGTTTTTATGATGGAAAATCTGTTAAGAATAGCAGCATTTCATTTAGTTTGAGCTTGATACTGAATTTCTCATTTTCTAATCGTAGACCTTTGAGAATCGTATAAACTTTTCAATGAAAATATGAAAAATATCATTCTTTTACTTGATACCTCGAAATGTGTTAAAAATCTATTCCATTATCAACTTTAAAAGCAAAAACCGAACTGCTATCATTGTCTAAATTACTTATATGAGCCGCTGAACTTTACAAAACAATTACAAGCATCCATCCAAAAAAGGTACGTACTAAACTGAATTACTCA